TCTTTGTAAACTGAACTTTTAAATATTTTTACATATAAGAACCTGCTGTTCGGTTTAAAGAGAGTTGACTGTATAATAATTGAAAAGTTTATTTACCAATATATAAATTTTATCAAGAGTATATTTTTTAAAAGTCCGATCATGCAATATTTTATTTAGGTTATTGTTTGTGAATTTGATCAAAACTTACCATCTTGCACTTTGATGGCCCGAGCTTAGTTTTTTATAAGTTTCATGGGTTCCTTGTTGGCCAAATTTTTGAGATTCTTGATTTCTAATTCCAATATCTTTGGTTAATTCGTTGTTTCTTTTGATAGAAGGATCACAGAAAATTTTCTTAAATAAATTGTGTAAACTAGACCTTTTCGTGAATGCAGTAATATGTCCCAACCTTAAAATCATGTGAAATTTTACTTTTACAATTATCAATTTATTTAAAATAAATTTGACAAATTTGAGCTTTACTTGTTCAACTGAATCTCGTGAAATTTACTTTGTTAAGAGCTGGTTGCCAACTATAATATTGAAAAATTTGCATGTACGTTTATTTTGTTTGCACTGAATTCGCGTGAAGTTTTACTTCATTTGACTATTACACTAAGTTCAAAATTAAAAAAAAGCATTTATTAATGAGTCAGTCAATAAACTTCTTAATTTCGATAATGTCGCGTGAAATTTTACTTCATTTAATGCGAGGGAATTCAATAGATGAAACTATGAAACTCACTAGGGGGTTAATCAACAGATATAAATGATGATTTGAAGTTAAATAACCACGCATGTATAATAATCTATTTCGACAATATCATATGAAGTTTAACAGGTTTACTTTAGAGGAATTTAACAGAAGAGCTGCAGTCAATAGTATTATATTATAGCAATCTCAACAAGTATGAATCAATCACGCTCACGCTCTTTAACTGACAAATCATGTGGTTTTAACATCTTTCTGTCGCGTGAAATTTTATTTTGTTTACGTGATCTAAAAAAGGACAAAAAATTCGAACCGTTCATAACAATTGACAGAGATTTTCTCTTTGAATTATACGATATCTACATCAAATTCATATTGAAGCCAAGATAAATTTTATTTTTTATATGTAATAATTCTTAAAATTGTGCATTCGTTATTGTCACGTGATATCTTACTTCGTTAAGCTAATGTAAAGTTTTGAATTCGTTAAGCGTGTGCATGAAGTTTTACTTTGTCGAAGACATTAAGGGGGTCAGTCTAGATTTGTAAGATAAACTTTTCTTTGTATTTCGGTGTCTAATCACAATCATCTACTGCCAAGACCAG